AGAGCAGCAATTTCAATCCTGAAAGAAACAAAGTGGTAGCAGCTTTCCATGCCCTCCCGTAGCACCCCTGTGCCAGCATCTGCCTGCCCAATTCCATCTCTGCACTAGAAACTCCTTAGTGGAAAGGCCTGAGGTTTGCCTGCTGCCACCTTTCACGCTGTGAGCTTCCCTGCAAATTCCTCCCCTGATCGAACTGGCCTTTTCCTGAATGTCTTTGAAAGTCTCTCTGTAGTTGATTAAGTCTACCATTATTAATGTTCACTGATTTCAACACTTAGCTCTGGATGGTCCATTCCAGTCATCTTTCTCTTCTTACTCTTTTTTTGAAAGCCTGCTAAGTACAGATAGTAGGGGGTTGTAGAAAGTGTGTAGAAAGGGCTGGGTTTCTACACACTTGCCAAATGCAGGTCCTGCTCTTTCAACTGCCAGCACTTTGTGTAAAATACACTGCACTAAGCTGGGAACAAATAGATTTATTTAAACAAGTTCCACACAGGGATAAGTCTGTCAGCCTGAACTAATTTGCAGTCCTTTCGAGGAAGAACACGAGGCTTTAAGACTCTGCAGGATAACTTGGCTCTCACAGCAGAGAATCCCTACGAGGCTGCAAAATGGGTGTACATGAGATCTACCACAGAGATGTTGAAGGGCACCGACTCCAGCAAACTTCCATTTTATTTATTCCATTTGTTTTCTTCTGAAAGTTACTTTCCATGCTCCTATTTAATTTATGACTGGTCTGACTAGGTCAAGTTGAAAAAGGTTCTATTAATGCCTGAGATGGAAGGATTTCTTTTCAGAGAAAAATATCAGAAGCAAATTATTTCTTCACTAAGGAGTATAAGCACACTGAACTGCGATTGTCCTGCTCTGCCTGGACTCAGTTCCACAGGTCATCTACTGCAATCAGTACCAACAAGATGGGTCCTGTGAAAAGGAAGGCTTTAATACTCCTTCTCTCGATGGTCTCCTACATTTGGTGTTTCTCTGCCAGCATCGCCTTCTACGTGTGCCTAGGTTAGGACTGACCACAGCCTCCAAACACATTTTTAAATGCCATCAAAACAGCACTGGAGGCGTTAGAGCTTCCTACTGCATCACACAAGTCCACTATAAAGCTTTTCTTTCCCTTTCTCCTGACTGCTTGCTGTTCTTTTACAGAATGCCCTGCATCTGTCACTTGCAAATGATCCATCATCTTTCCCT